TTTTGGTATTAGGGTGATGTTGGCTTCATAGAATGAGTTTGGGAGTATTCCCTCCTCTTCTATTTTTTGGAAAACTTCAAGGAGAATGGATATTATATCTTCTCTGTATGTCTGACTAATGTTTTCTAAACAATTCTTGCAGTAGCCTCCACTCCCTGCGATTCTGATTTAATTGGTCTGGAAGGCTTCCAGGCAAGAATGGTTTTAAAAGCTCCCCAGGTGAGTCTAATGTGCAAACCATGCTGACAACCACTAAGTATGGACCACAAAGATGAGATACACTTGTCCACAGCCACTATATTGGTAAAAAGGGGCAGAAGGAGCCGGGGACCTGGGCCAGTTGTGGAGCTCTCTATTTCTAATTCTAACTAGTCATTTAAAACTTTTCTAATAAGCCAGTAACAAAAAGACAAGTACTGTATGATTTATTTCATACTGAGATAGGGAGGCAGCAGGGAGTAACTCCTGCCCAGTTGAGGACACTGTGGGCCCTTGAAAAGGACAGTCTTACTGAGGCTTCAGGAATGTAGAGAAAGAACAGGGTGCTTGGGATTCAAACAATGTACCAGTGTATTCTCCCCACCAGGACCCAGTGATATGAAACAGCTCATTGCTCATGGTCATGCAGGCCCATTAGTTTACAATAGGGTGTCTGGGTAACCTTCACAGAGATAGGTTAAAATATAACTAGCCTTCTGGCTGAACCTATAGAAAACTGCTACTGCAACAAGCATAAAACCCTAGACACGGAGGCCCCAAGCAGCAACCTTCCCCTCCTTGCACCTGTGGGGAATACTTTCTCTTATCCTGAATAAAACTCTTTCTGTAAATCTCCTACCTTGCTCTCTCACAAAGTTCATTCTTTGACTCTGCGAACAAGAACCCCAGCATCAGTACAAGGTACTTAGTTACATTCAGAGACAGAAAGTAGAATGGTGGTGACCAGCATCTGGGAGTTTGGAGGAAGCTGTTTAATGGGGACAGTTTCAGTTTTGCAAGATCAAAAGAATTCTGGATATTGGTTGCAAAAGAGTGTAAATGCATTTGACATTCCTGAACTGTATACTTAAAATGGTTAAGATGGTTAAGTTTCATGTTATGCATATTTTACCACAATTTTTAATTTTAAAAAAATACATTTTTTCTAATGAGAAATCTTTCCCATGGTAAGTTACTGAGATGTGCACAAGAAAGAGTTCAATAGGCAGAGCTCAAATAATCCTGGACCCCCTGGAATAATATTTTCCTGACATCATGTAATCTTCTAAAATTTATTCTAACCTAAAATGACCACTTCTGAATTTCTTTCATCAGCACTGCTGTAACAGAATAGTGAGTTTTGTCTCTTTATACACATTTGAGAGCAGAATGGACACTTTCCCCTTTCTTCACAAGTCCCCCTCAGCATTACAGGGCCTGGGCTTCCTGGTCAGGCACATATGACACTCTGCCTTGCGGCTTCTTTCAGCCCCCCCGGCAATGCTGAGAAACACTTTGGAGATAGCAGTATCAGGGTCACCAACTCATCTCAGCTTGCATGAGACTCTCTCAATTTTGGTGCTGAAAGCCCCGTGTCCCAGAACACTCAGTTCAATGCAAAACGGGGACAATTGGTCATCCTACTAGGAGTCCTAAATTTTGGGGAATAAAAAAAAGGGGCCTGAGGGGTAGAGAAAGGAAATGGAAAGGAAGAGAAAGAGAGGAAGGTAGAACACAGTGGAAAAGAGAAAGGAGGTGTTGATGGTGTATATGACTTTTGACGGCCTTCAATGGCTACCATGATTTTCTGACTCTTGCTTTGAGTTTATTATAATTATGGATATAATTACCACCATTATTAGTGTAATAATAAAAACTAATACTTGGAACACATGTATATAATACCATGTTAGTGTTTTTACAAGTTCCATGTCAATTCTTTCTAACTATAATCCCGTAATAGGTAAATACTATTATTATCCCATGAAGATTTAACTTGTTTTCTCAGGTCTGAAAAGAAAGACTCCAGAAGTCACCTTGACTTTAAGAGGGTAAACTTTTGGAGTATTAAAGGCAGCTCTTCACTTGAAGATAACCAGGGCAGGTATCCTTAATTGTGTCAGCTGGTTACTCTGTTGTTCATAAAGAGTATGACCTAAACCTTTTAGGGGGTGAGGCCCTCTGGAGACAAGGCAGCTACCCTTAGGCCACCAGTGGTCAGAGACTAAAAAGAGATGTGGGACCTTTTGTGCTTTAAGAACTGGTTGTACGGCCCCCTGGGGGAGGAAAGGGAGCAGAGGTTCCACATCTACATGGGGGAAGAGCCTACCCAAATCTGAAGAGCCCTGTTGGACGGATAGTCCAAAATACGGTACCCCAAGAACTGTAACCTTGGAAATCCATGCAAGGAGTCACCACTAGCTGAACTAAGCTCTGAGGAAACCAGTTGTCCTCCCTGAACATGGCAGCAGAATCAGGAACGCAGATCTGCAGAACTGCACGGTTTGTGTCGGACACGCTGTCAACAGCGACATCATGTGGCAGTGAGGAACAAAGGCAGGAGCTGGCTAAACCACCCAGGCTCTCCGCCGTAGAACCAGGAAGTCCGAAGGACCCCCTTCCTCCCTCCTCTTTAGCATTCACTCCGCAGGAGGGCTCTGGGGCAGGAAGTGAGCCTTGCAGAGGGATGTAAGCACACACATGATACAGCTGATATACTGAAATGGCTCGAGATTCCTGGATTAGGCTGCTCTGTACTGTCTTACACCTGCATCCTAAAGTATTCCCCCAAGTGCTTAATTAAAAAAAGTGAATGATTTATATTACATGCTGAGAGAGCAGTGGCTACAATATTTAGTGGAAAAACTGAGGCTGAGGTCTTTTTGGGGAGATGCTGTTTTGCAAAATCAAACTATTCCCAGTCACCTCCCGGAAGCCGTCCTTGATCCCGTGTTAGGCATTCTCATAAGAACCTGTAGTCTCCCAGTCATAGGAGTTAAGGCGCAATTTTAATTTTCTGTTGACTTGATCTAGCTTCCCTCACAGACTGTAAGCTTGTTGAAGGAAGGGACAAGTTTCATTCACCATTGTATCCCCACTGCCTTGTATGTGTTGAAACCAAAAGGTTATTTTTATACCTAATCTATAACCCAGGCTCAGGGAAGAATGAGAGAGAATTTTTTTCACTCTGATGCCTATTGCTGCATTCTTTCTAGCGAGTGTCTACAATTTGGAAGGCTGTGGACCTCTGGCTGGAGGTCTGAACTTGAGTTTTGAGGGCAGGTCAAACAGGCTGCTGCTCTGAGCTAATGTGCCACCTGCCCTGGGTTGGTTGTTTATGCTACCAACTTGACATTCTTTTCTTAGAAACCATGCTCAAAGTGCAACTCTGTGGCTTAATAAAAGCTTTCAGCATGACACAGATGAGAAATACTTTCAGATATTCAATATTCACATATTTCAATAAAGTCACTTTTATTTTTACCATATCCAACATTTCAGTGACCCATACACGACTGATTTTGGGAGAAAAGATCTGATTTTATGATTCCCCATGTCTTCTCTAGGGGTGAATATTCTCTTCCCAAAGAACAAAGATGGAAGCTAAATCATAAGATCATATGGTAAATATTGTCACAAGAGACCTCCTGAAGCTGAAAGGATATAGTCTGTAGACATATGAAAATACATGCTTTTTTATGGAAAGGGGGAATAAACATGGGAGCTCTATCCTAAGAGTCTATATAGGCAAAAACAATATGTCAGTGTGAACTCACAGATGATTATAATGGATATGAAAAGGAATTCAGAGATACTTGAGGCTCTTAACTTATGAGGCTAATTTAATTGTCAATGAAAAATATGTCAAAAATCACCTTGAAAATAAAGACAGAGTTTTATTTGAGCCAAATTTAGGACCCAGGCCCAGGAAGATATAACTCCTACAGGTGGGCAGGAGATATGTTCCAAAGAGTCCAAGTCATATAAATGTTTTACATCTTTGGGGAGATAGACAAGAAAGACAGAACTTCAGAGGGATACATTTCATTCATATAAGGTAAGTGATGCAGAGAAGAGAGGGGGCTGACATACATCCTGGCATGGAAGGAAAATTAAGGGGAAGAGCAAATGTCCTTGCATATCTTTTAGCAGGAATCTGGGTGCTAGGTTAGCTGTTAATTAACAGATGGTCTTGTAATAGTTAGAAAGTTTAAGTTTTCATGGGTGGCCATTTTGAGACACCCAGGGACAGTGAAACCTTCAATACTTGGGCCTTAGATATCTTCTGGTGGTCTTTAGTATGGTGGTCAGCTTTTCTTTAGTTCATAAATGAACTCTAACTTCCAGGTCAGAGACAGAACACTGGGCTAAACAAGTGCTTGTCTGACCCAACACGTAATTTCTTACAGTTTTTACACTCCTGAAGGCACACAACATATGGTTAGTGGGCTGATGCCTAGGCACCCACTGACCCCTAGTGACGTCATCAAGCTCAGCTATGGGAGCCGGCCTTCCAGAACCCCGGGTTAGGGGAGCAGGGGACTGTGTAGGCAGGAATAGGGTTTTGAGTCCTATCCTTTCGGGTGGTACTCACTCTCTTTGATGTCCTGTCTCTCTGGACTAAGAAATTGGTTCCCACTTAGTCATGAGAAAACCATGAGAAATGAATTGCATTTCTGAGTTATTTCTATCTCTTCAGTCTGATGTTTGGAAGCAAAGGGAAGTGGGAAGGGGGATGATGCAGCAAGGGCAGGATCTTCTTTCCTGAATCTACAAGTGGACAGATGAAGCACACAGTGAAGAGCAGGGGGCCCTTTAGCTAGTTGAATAAATAAGACTGGAATTCCTAGTGACTGGAATAAACTCAGAGTTGAACTTGTGGATAGATCAGATACAAGGGACAGGTTTTACGGACTGCAGAACACAGAGGATAACATCTCTTCCGTTCCCCTCTACTTCTCTTTCCTCCCTTAGGAAACCGCAGTAGTAGAGATCACCTCCAACCAAAGAGCTGTTTCTATTTAGCAATTATGTGCGTTGCACTCTTTTGCTTGTTGAATTGCAAACTGGCTTTCCTCCTCTTTATTCTTCTCTTTCTGCTTAGAGGGCAATTTCTGCCTTTCTATTTTGCAGGGCTGATAGTTGAAACACAGGGCTAGGGTGAGTACAGCCACTCCAAGGGCGACAATAATAATGACAAAGATGGTGGAGCTGATTCCTTCATCCAGACCTGCCCAAGCACAGAAGACAGAATTGGAAGGTTTGAGGGCGAGAATCACCCGGCCCCAGCCCACCGAGCCCACTTCTCAACTCAGCTTCCCCCACCCACTGAAATCTTTCTTCTTTCCATGTTTGGATAAGAATACCTGCCCACTGGGGGAGTTCCATCCTGGCCCTGGCAGCAGGGGGAGCCAAGCACCTTGAACAACGACAGCAATGTTTTTGCTGACGGAGCCCAGCTGGTTGGCAGCTGTGCAGCAGTAGGTTCCAGTGTGGCTCTTGGTTGCCTTCTGTGGCACTTCAAGGTCTAAGATCTCTCCATTCCACGTACACACCACGGTTGGAGTTAGGGTTCCCTTTGCGACGCAGGCAAGCATCTGCCCTGTCCCCTCCAGCCACCTCTGGTTGCCAGGGCAACCAGATTCCTCTAACCTGGGCTTGTCTGGAAAAAAGACAGTCCCCCAGTGAGCTAAACTCAGTGAGCCACATCCTCTCCTCGCCTTCACGTCAGCTCCCTCTCCCTCCCCGAGTCCAAATGCCGAGTCCCCCCCACCCAACAGCCTTCTTTCCAGGGGAGGGCCCTCTGTTCCCTGCTTTGAGTCACTCTTCTTTCCTCCCTTCCCCATGGACAAGGAGGCTGAGATGCAGCAAAGGGCATCTGAATGGAGTCAGACTAAATAATCCGGATGGCTCTATCAATGGAGGCCCTGGGGGCCCTGCTTCCATCTGTGCTTCTCGGTGAATGAGGACATAGGCAGGAGTGAACCCAGAGATGAGGATTTTTCTACTTTTCAAAATACAAATTTTTATGTGGAAATTTCCCTCCTCAGCATTAACTCTAACTATTGGTTCCTATGCCCTGAGCCATCAGCCCTCTAACACCACCTGATCACTTTAACCACATTCTTCTTTCTGTCCAATTTCCCCTCATGTTTCTCTATATTCACTTTCCTGGGAGTAAAGTAAGCCTGAAGAGCTTTAATTTTATCTTCTCCTTTGATTTTTTTCTAACTTTAATGAGAAAAATGTGGCAACTCTAATAATGAAGCCACTGGCCAAGAGCTCTGCAAATGGGTGACTAATAATCCTTATTTTGACAGCAAAGAGCAGGCCTCTACTCACATAAGACATGGAGCTGGACTGCCGTGTTTCTCATCAGCCGCTGACCCTGTACCTCCAAAGAGGCCTCACAGGAGAAATTTCGGCCACCATCTTCCTCCTTGGTGGTAAGGGAAAGCCAGGCAGGCTTCCCAAGGGCAGGGAGGTCTGGAGCTCCCTGAAGCCAAAGAGTAGGGCTGGGTGATGTTAATACATGCCCTGAGCAGGTCACATTAATGTCTGTCCCTGCCAATGGGTATAATTCTTCTATCTCCAGGACTGGTGGAGGGAAGCCTATTAGGAAAGGAAGAAGAGAACCAAACATAGTTCTCAAAACCAGCAGCTGTTTCCATATTCTCTCTGCTGGTGGTATCCCCTGGCTAGGGAGACAACAGGGGAGAGACGGGATACGATTACTACCCTGTGCTGGGCGGCTGGAGCAACAGGGTGGTTGGGGAGTTGGAGAGTTTGTACAACAAATGCAGCATGCACACATTTGGCTATGCCGAGGCAGCAAGGAGAGCCAGATGTCTCTTCCCCTCACAGCTCTCCTCCTCACCTCAAGTAATTATTCCTAGAAACAAGTTCAAGCATCTACATCACTCTGTGTAGGATGGCCTAGGAAACTAAGGGAAGGATGGACAGAACTGCTGCCTAAATGCATGTCTCCAGCCTGCCTGCACTTACCAGAGGAAAATGAAGGCTAATGTTCACTTGCGAGTGTACCTAGCAAAAGTTAGCAGGAATATTTGCAGCTGAATCACCAAGCCTTTACCGGGAGTTTTCCACAGCTGGAGAAGGACAGATGCAGGTCACTCACTGTAGACGTGCACGGGCACGTCTCTTTTCTGTTCCATCGGACCCAGGGATACAAGGCAAGTCAGCTCCTGCTCCCCAGTCTCCACAGCCCGGACGGAGGCATTGGCCCAAGCTGTCTCCCTCCCAGGAAAGGAAGGGGCTCAGCTCCTGGTCTCCCAGGAACATGCAGAACACCACCTCTTTGGCTGGGAACACCCTGGCCACCTCGCAGCTCACAGTCCCGGCCATTCCAACCTCCAGAAGAGGAGAGACCCAGATTTGGGGGCTCTGAGAGAATTCTGCCAAGAAATGAGGGAAGGAAAAGGAGAAAAGCCAGGATAAAACCACAGTGTAGGAAGGGACTGGGGCTAAAAGCTCTCTGCCCCCCAGGGGGAGTTTAAAGCCCAAATACAAGTACAGCTTAATTACCTTCCCACCCTCATCCCAAACCCTGTGGGAACTTAGTCCCAAAGGGCAAGGTAAGAGGGTAAAATGCGCCTCAGGATTCCTTCCACACTTGGGCTCCGACTCACCAAAGGTCCGGAGCACCCTGACGGCTGAGCTGCCGCGAAAGAGCCCTCTGCCATGTGTACTCACGTCCAGGACTGCACGGCAGGAGAAATTGCACCTGTCATCCTCCCTTCGGGCTCTGTCACTGATGGGGACCTCAGCTCTCTGGGAGGCCACAGCCAAGCTTGGAAAGTTCTTTCTATGTAGTTCCTGGTCACCCTGGAGAAGGGTGAGGGTGAGGTTCTCCAGGGGCATCACACTGGGCACATGGCACTTCACTGTAAAGTCTTCATCCACAGCCACCCATGCAGGCTGCAGCTCCAGGATCACCTGCTCTGGTGGCTCTTGAAGACAAAAAGGCAGGCTTGATGAGAGAAAGCTACTCGCCTCTCCAGAAAGAAGTGGTGCGGGACAGGAAGGCTGAGGCAGAAGGTGAGTGCTACCCCGAGGCAGAGGCAGCTCTCTGCCACCCCTGCCCTCCATGAGTTAGCTTTCTGGCTCTTCTGCCCATCAAAGGAGGTGAACGCCATGGCTGAGAAATGTTGAGGGGTGGTCCCTTGTTTTGTCTGTTGCTGCCATTGTGGAGCTTTTTCTCTCTACCAGAGCTGCTTCAGAGGCATGAGCAGCCTCTCAGGAGCCCCTTAGCATCACACAAGAACTATACCGTTAACCAAGCTCTTACCACACAGAAATCACCCTTACTCTTACTGCCCTAGCTTTACCAATGCTCTCTGCCCACCTGAAAGGCCCTCCTCACCCATCCCTCTCACTTCAAATACTATTCATCCCGCAGGAGTACAGCTTAAGGCGTTCCTTCTCCATGGAGGCTTCTCTAACTACCCCAGCCCACAAAGACTCTCCTTTTTCCAAACTCTATTTATCCTAAGAAACTGTAGCAAATAATTCATCGATTTTATACTTTTTTGATCATTTATAAGGGTGCTTTATTAGCATTTGCTTCCTGTATTTGAATATATTCTCAAGCACAGATGTCTGGATGGCCTCTATGGTCTGCTCCTAATTTAGAAGCCTATACCAAAGAGAAATAGAAGTAGTTGGCTCTAGAATTCCTACAGTATGACAGAAATATTTAGTAAGGGACCTCATTCTCTCCCCTAAAATAAATCTCTAATCTTTCCCTAAATTAGGCATAGTCATGTTGCCCCACTCCCTCCCCAGCCCTGAGCCCCACTCACTATACACGGTGATGCCAAGGCTTGTGTACTTTTGTGTCCCAGCGCAGGAGAAAAAGCACTGCAGGATGGAATTCTCTGTGACATCCTCCAGGAGAAACTCCTTCCACTGAGGCCCCCAGCCCACCTGGGTTCTTTTCAAGAAGGTCTCAATTCCACCGGGTCCTGGGTCTGGACAGGTGGTACTACAGTTGACCATTAGGGACTGTCCGACCTTTACCAGGGCCTGATCAGTCCAAACAGAAACCTCAAACAGCTCTTCAGTGGCCCCTGAAATGATCAACCACATATGCCAAAGACTCTGGTGAGGACCACGAGACCCAAATAAAATACAGAGACTATTCTATCTATAGGTTAGAGAATAGGAAACCTACCCTGAATAAAAGATACAGGGAACTGGATGAGAAAAAAACCCTAGTGAAGAAGATAGAACCCTGATTCCATCTTCATTCCCTCCACTTGTCATCTTTTTTGGTATCTTGATTTCTCCAGTAGGGTCACCATGGAAACTATGGAGCTGCTAAAAATCATGCCCAGGAAACCATTCTCTTCCCAAACTTCCAGATGTCTTGGAAGCTCCCAGGATTGGCTACTGAGGGCTCTCATGGGGTTAGTAGGCCCCTAAGATAAAGAGCTCTGTTACTTATATCTCAAATTTTGTTTCTCTCATAAGGATTTCTTTCACCAGAATCACCTGGAATGCTTGTAAAACTGGAGTGTAGCTCCACTTCAGACTGAATGTTTGAGTTTGGGAAAGTGGGACCTGGAAATATGCAAGTGAGCAAAACAAACACACCTGCTGATCCTTATGCACGCCAAATTATGAGAACCACTAGCCTAGAGGTGACTCGCAGGGTCAATTAATTCCCAAGAAATTTTTTACCTCTTCTCAAAGTAATCCTGTCCCATTTTGCTTTGTTGCTAAAGAGTTTCTGTTACAGGAACTTTCTCAGGTGCAATGAGGGAAACAGCAGATAAATCTTAGATGCCTGATGCTGGTGAGGGGCACAGTCTCCTGGAAGCTTCCTTACAGGTCCCCTTTAGCTATTCCATGTCCGCCATTTACTTTGTCTCCCAAATACCAGTCCCCTCTGGGAATACACAACTCTTGCAGCAATGTTACCCACTAAGGCTTCAGTTCCTTCCTGCCATCCTGAGAACTCCTCACATCTGAGCCATGGGGCCCTGTCCTATCAAAATCCTATTGTAGTTTTTCATGATACAGAGGGTGGCAACAAAGAAATAAAAATATTCTCAAGAGCAGAAAAATAGGACAGCGCTGGGGTAACAGGGAGTCAAGCAGAGAAGGCATATTTCTTAAGGAGAGTTCTATTATCCTGCCCCTTAATTTAGGTTATCCCAATTACAATTCTGTGTCCTAGTGATCCAAAAAATCAGAATGTCTCCCAAGGGTCCAGATAAGTGAATACGCAAGTGTTGCCCTGCTCAGGACTTCCCATCCTCTTCCTCATTGACCAGCCACTTGTGTCTGGGCACACGGTGACTAAAGAAACTCTCCCAAATAGCCTCACCTGGGCAAGGGATCAAGGTCAGCAGGGTCCAGACACCAAACAGTAGCATTTCCATCTTTATGAGAAGGTCCAAAAGCTGGAGAGAAAGAAAGGAGACAGCAATGCTGGAGAACGTGACCAAAAAAGAAAGAAAGAGGGTATAGAAAATGCTTTCTTTGATATTGTTAAAAGTCAGCCCCTTCCCTGAATCCTGGTATAATTCCAGAGAAATTGCAGGAAGAATATCAGTGGTATGGGTGTCCTAAAGGAATGTCTTGCTTCTATTTATTTCAGTTTGGCTTATGTGTATAGCAAAATGACACAGAAAAATAATAGTAGCTATTAGATGAAGTGAGATTCCTGTTCAAGCTTGTACTGCACTTAGCTGTTTATATGTTTGCTTTCATCTATTTGGATCAATAGAAGAAGTCTGTCAGCATGAAAACATGAAAAATAAGGTGTAGAGAGAGGAAATTTGGCAGTGATTATTTACCAACATCCGATGAAAAGTGACCCTGAATTTGGAAATTAGGGTCACTATGGTCCCATTCTCTGATGTAAATAAGAAATGTTTCATCCGGCCTCTCTCTTCATGACCTCTATAAAATATTCTTCAAGATAATCCATCTCTTTGTGATCTGCCTCTACCATCAAGCAACTTTTGGATCATTATTTGGCTGAGTTAAGTCTGAAGGATCCACTTCTCTTTTCTCCACCAATCCATACCAACTTTCTTCTTTCCAAATGTCATTCAAGCTATTTTCTAAAAAATGTTTCTTAACTAACCCTCTCCTACTTCACAATCCCTCACTTATTACACATTTTCTGTACCTCATTTTATGCCAAACATGATTTCTGAAGCTATGCACATTAAAATAAAATTCACCTTAAAAGAATTATTTTAATGATGTAATCATTACTATGCTAGGAATTCCTTGAGGACAAAGGATTAGTCATCTTGCATTTCCAGCACCAAGCACAGTGCCTAGCATGTTATGGATATGTCATAAATGAACGGCTACCCTCAAGTCTTTTGGGGAGGGTACATAAAATAAAATGCATAAGTCTTAGTATAAAGCTCAATGAATTTTGGTATGGGTATACACTCATGTAAGCATCACCCAGATCAAGATATCAAATAATCTCACTAATTTTTCCTCTTTAACCTATCTCACCCATTCTTCCATCCTCTCCCCTATGACAACCACCAGTATGTTCTCTATGAGTCTATTTCTGTTTTGTTTGTTTGTTCTCAATCCCAAAAAGAGTTTTTAATCCAAAAGAGTGTGGTGCTAGACTAGTGCCACTTTGGTGGGACTACAGGATCTCCAGCAGGTGTGTTTGAGCATAGGCAGGGTCCCGGAGACTACCCTGATTAAGTCGGGAGCAGGTATCGCCCCTGACCCTGCTCCCATCTGCACTATCAGTATGAGGGCAAGAACATAAACAATGGCGCTCACCCTGCTCTCCTCCACACTAGCAATGTGTGTGTGTGTGTGTGCGCGCACGCGCGCGCGCGTGTGGGTGGGTGGGTGAGTGTGGGTGTGTGTGGGTGGTGGGTGGGAGGAGGGGTTGTAAACAATGGTGCTTACCAGCACCTCCAATCCTACAGTTCTGGCAGTTTCCTTACCATTTGGCAAGTGCTTTAGTTCTGAAAGTTGGTTTGCCTTTTAAACCAGTTTTTTTTCTGTGCCCCAGAGCAGGCAAATCAATGTTCTGGTAACTCAGTGAACCTACCTACTGCAGGGCACATTCAGGGTGGGGCATCTCTCCATTGCCATGTCTCCATGTTTCCTGACCTTTTTTATGTGGTCCTTTTATCCCTTCTTATGCAGAAGGTGTTCATTCAGGCCTCAGTTCTTCCTCAGGACAAATTACTTGCTATGTAGGTACAGACTGGTGTGTCTGTGAGAGGAGGTGGGTTCAGGCTCTTTCTAGGCTACCATCTTGGACCTGCCTCTCTACCTTCTAATTCTCTACCTTGTAACACTGTATTTGAATTTTCATCTGCTGGGCTTTGTACAGTGTACCTTTACTTGTATGCTGGTCTGAAAGGATTAGTTTTTTTTATACATGCATAAGGTAATAGGCATGTCAAAATTTATACTCCGAGGTGAACGTTACCCTTCAAAACAATCACTTTGGGAGGCTATAAACTTATTGCAGTGATGACACCATTATTCAAAACTTCTTTGGGGAAGTGATTTATTTAGATCTGGCCTTTAAGCTACACAAGAAAAACCAGTCTTTTTACTATTCTGTTATCCTTTGAGCAAAAACGTTATCACTCAGTCGTGTTATTTGCCAAACCTAGTGCTGGGTGACTTAATGTCTATTTTCAAGGAAGTTCTCCTATCATTGAAGATATTCTAATGTACCCTGGAGTCTGAAAGAAATTTCAAAACAGAAGTTTTGAGGCGTAACAGCTCACTTGGAAAAAATACCAAAGCCCCAAGCAGGACTATTCTTATTTATACATTCTTTCAGTGAACAATTGTCAAGAGCCTAGGACATGCCAGGCTCCTAGTAAGGTGTTGAAGGTATCACCACTTATCCTACATGTAAATAAAAAACGTCAATACACTGTGCCAAGTGTTATTATAAACACTGGAGTGGGGGACTAAAGTGAGAATAAATGAGTTACTTCAAGCTAAGTTGACCTCAACCCCTGGCACATAAGCCTTCAATAAATGTGACGATGCGGCGGTCCTGCTGCTAATGACGCGCTTTGTTTTTTTTACAGTGATGGATCTAAGCACACAGAACTGTTGCAGGCATTCAACAAGTATGAATGAATGAATGAACTAGATAAAATATTTACAAATATTTGAGTGGGGGCCCTGTGCCCACCCACTCGTCTACGGAGCGTAAGGCCAGTTCTTGCTGGGAAGGGGTTTCTTGCCCAGCGAGTACACAAGGTGGCTCTCACGCTCTCAGTCCAACAGGCCAGGTAAGCTTTTAAAGGCGGACGATATTTAAAATACTAAAAAATAAGTGGGAAAAAAATACTTCAGTGAGCGCTCCTCAGGGTTTCCAGCTCACTAAAGTATGGGGAGGTGAGGCCCGCCATGAGGCCTGATCTCCACAAACTTGGACGGGAAAGCAGGGAGGAGCTGCCAGAAAGAACCTGAATAAACCAAACCAAACCTAAATCCTCACTGAGAGCCACTCCTCGCCGCTCCCGCCGCTCCTCCGGCAGCCAGGCCGCCGCGCCGCTGGGCGCGCGCTCAGACCATTTGGTGGGCACCACCGGGAGGGGGCGCGCGAGGACGCCCCTGGTTGGAGGATTTTTCTGATCTGCCTAGAAACTCATGACGTCTATGCAGATGTTTAACAAGGGTTGGCTGAGACAGCGAGGCGGGCGGGAAACTAAAACGACTGGAGGGGTGCGCTGGGAGGATGAAGATAGGCAGGGAAGCGTGTGTCCTGTTTGGCGGAGAGCGCATGTCTGCGTCAAGATAATGGCTTCTGAATAAAGCAAAGTGAGAACAAAAGGGAAAAGATTGTTGTAAGCAAATAATGGCTAAGGACAAGGGTTTGTCGGCCCCTCACCCGGCCCGTCCGTGTCGGGCCGGGCTGCGTACGCTTTCCCGGCGTTGGACCGCGGTGCCCCACTCGCCAAGTTTGCCCGGGGCTCTTCTGTGCTCTTCCTGGGTGAGGCGGGAAATGGACGCCTTGCCAATATCCGAAAGCCCTTTTTGTGCCCGTTCCCCCGTTTCTGTGCCGCACCCGCCTAGCATTCCCTTCCACACCTCCTACCGAACTTGGCGGCCCCTGCTCCCCCGCCTAGGAGCCGTCAGTACGCCGTAAAAAGGGCAGTGAGCGAGAAAATCCTCTTCCGTTGCCTCTGCACCCCGGGACCCCTTTTCTCAGCTTCCATGTCAAATACCTTCCGAAGGTTGTTTCTAGACATTTCCCCAGAGCCCAAATTGGGCCAGTCTTCCGGGCATCCTGCTGCATCCTTGGTTCTCCCTCAATCTTTGGTCTGCCCCTGAGCTATGGTCTGGGTTCCTTGGTGCAGTGAAGGGATGCAGTTGAGGATTGGGGAGCTTGTTCTAAAGAGGACGGTTTTTATGTGCATCCACTATCTCATTTAATGTAACTACCTAAGAGGGAGGCATTACAATTAACCCCATTTCTCTATATGGAAGTGGCAAGCAAGGAAATTATTAATGTGGTTGGCAGTTTTGGTGTCCAGTGTAAGTCTTAAGAACTGTATTTCTTTCTTTTTAGACTATGAATGAGTGGCTTCTTGCCCTCGGGCTAACTCCTTTGGGCCACCCAGGGAAGTTGCTCTTCTTGAACCCTAGTGTACCGATGCCTTGTCTCCTTCCCCATACTAACAGTCTGAGGGAGAATAACCAATGGGTCGTCAGAAGCTTTGGGGCCAAACAAGTCTGTCTATGAATCTCTCAATGTCTTAACAGCTTTGGTACCATGGGAAAAGTATGTAACTTCTACTCTCCTCGTCTGTCAAAAGGAATGACATTTAGTTTATGTATATGAAAGTGCCTACTATTGTTTTTAACATAGCTGTTCAGTAAATGGTAGTCTTTGTATTCCTTCTACATTCTCAGATAGGCCTTTCCTGACTATTCCCCCTAAAATTGCCAGGCTTTCTTTTTCTTTATAGCACTCATTAGTACCTGACATTAAGTTAAGTATCCAGTGGTGTCCTAGACCGGCTGCAAGAGATGGGCTGGCTCATCTCTTCCCAGATCTGTATTTAGGGATGTCAGGTAGCTTGAAAACCACCATGGTGGAAGTATTTACATCACAGAAATTGCCAAAGGTTACAAATTAGGGTTTTGTTTTTTGAGAACTGGTTGTTAAACATTGTTCTGTATATACCTGTTAATCCGTTCATTGTTTCCTCTCCAGTGTCATGTGGGCACAATAATTTTATCCGTATTGTTTATTGATGTATCCTTAGTACCTAGAACAATGCCTGCACTTAGTATGCACTCAATAAATATTCAGTAACTGAGTGAGTGAGAGTCTGTGAAGAGTGATGATTTCACACCTCCATTTTCTTTGTGGGGAGACATCAGGTAGCTCCTTCAGAGGACTCTTAGC